CGAGTCCCCTCCACCCCCGGTCCCCACCGCCCTGACCATCCTGCCTGCTGTTGCCACAGTGACAAGTTCCTGGCTGAGCACCCGCTGCTCACCCTGAACCCCAACATCACCGGCGTCTTCCTGGGACCCTACCCCTTCGGCATCGACCCCGTGAGTCCTGGCCGATGGCTCTGGGTGCTGCGGGCAAGCAGGAGGGCAGCCCAGTTCTGGTGCAGGATGCTTGGGGCCCCAGACGGATGCGGGGCCTCCTTGCTGGGCCCTCCGTGCAGCCACTTCACAAAGCAGAGAGGCATGTCCTGTCTGTGCAGTGACTATATTTCATTCCTGTGACAACTCCACGAGGCATACCTTAGCATCATTCCCATTTTACAGACGAGGAAGCTGAGGCACAGATTACCCAAGGTCGCCCAGTTAGGAGGGCCAGGTTGTCTGGCCCTATCTGTGCTCTTAACCAGTGCCCCCTGCTGCCTCTCAGGGGGCAGGTGATAGATTGTGCTGAGGCCCCAAAGGGGGACAAACAGGGTGATGAGAGTGACCAGGGCAGAAGGGCGCCTGCATGACACCTGCCCCTCCTGCCACCGCAGATCTGGAGCCTGTCCCTCAACCACCTGAGCTTCCTCAACTCCTTCAAGATGAAGATGTCTGTCATCCTGGGGGTCACACACATGGCCTTTGGCGTGGTCCTAGGAGTCTTCAACCACATGTGAGAGCCCAGGCTGTGCTGGGGGAGGTGGGGGACTGCAGGGCCAGGGTGGTCCGGTGACCTGGCCCTTGTCTCGCCCCAGACACTTTGGCCAGTGGCACCGGCTGATTCTGGAGACCCTGCCCGAGCTGGTCTTCCTCCTGGGCCTGTTCGGCTACCTGGTCTTCCTGGTCGCCTACAAGTGGCTGCGAGTCTCGGCCGCCAACTCCGCCTCCGCCCCCAGCATCCTGATCCACTTCATCAACATGTTCCTCTTCTCCCGCAGCCCCACCAACCCGCCGCTCTTCCCGGCGCAGGTGGGCGAGGCGGGTGAGCGGTAGCGCCTGCAGGGGCCTGGCCCCTGATCCTCCTGAGAGAGGGGGGTGCAGGCCTGAGGCCGTGAGGCTCCCCGTGGGGTGGCACAGTGGGTGCGGGAAGCCTGAGGCCCTTCTGAGTGTTCCTTCCGCAGCGATGTCCCTGCCTAGCGAGGGGCCCTGCGGGAGGGGCAGACACGGGCTCCCTGGGTGTGCTGCCTGTGGGGGCACCCTGACCCGAGCCCCTCTCTGCAGGAGGCGGTGCAGTCTGCACTGGTGGTCCTGGCCCTGGCCACAGTGCCGGTCCTGCTGCTAGGCACGCCCCTGTTTCTTCACTGGAGTCACCGCCGGCAGAGGCGGCGGCGGGCTGGCCAAATGCAGGTAGGGGTGGGGTGTGGGGGGGCCGTTAGGAGGCGGGGCCCCCGCCAGCCTCTGGAGAGCGTCCGTGTGCAGGCAGCAAGGGGCAGTGCGGGCCGTCAGGGCTGGGCCTGATGTGCCTGCGTCCCATCCCCAGGACGAAGACAAGCCTGGGCTTCTGGACTCGCCCGATGCGTCTGTTGATGAGGAGAAGGCGGGGCACCCAGGGGACCTCCAGGAGGCCGAGGTGGGTGTGGCGCCTTCCTGAGGGGGGCTGACCGCCGCCTGGCCAGCCCCTTACTGCCGCCCCTGCCCCCAGTTTGTTCTTTCCGAGGTGTTCATGCACCAGGCCATCCACACCATCGAGTTCTGCCTGGGCTGCATCTCCAACACGGCCTCCTACCTGCGCCTCTGGGCCCTGAGTCTGGCCCATGCCCGTGAGTGACCAGTGTGGTGGGCGGCCAGCCGGGCCGCGGGCAAGCTGCTGGCTGGGTGGTCTGGGCGCGTCACTTCTCTGGGCCTCAGGATCCCCCTCTGTAAAGTGGGGACATAAGAGGAGGTCCTCTGCTAGCCTCACAAGAAGGGGGCTTCAGGCTGCTGAGGTTGCAGGGAGGCACCCTGGCCCCTGGTGTCCACCGCCCCCTCTTCACCCACAGAGCTGTCGGAGGTCCTGTGGACCATGGTGATGTCTTTGGGCCTGGGCATGGGCCGAGAGATGGGCGTGGCAGCCGTCGTGCTGGTCCCCATCTTCGCCGCCTTCGCCGTGATGACCGTGGCCATCCTGCTGGTGATGGAGGGGCTCTCCGCCTTCTTACATGCCCTGCGGCTGCACTGGTGAGTGGCCCAGCCAGCTGCCCAGGCGGCTCGGGGCAGGGTGCAGGGCCTTCCCCTCACCAGTGGCCCTTCTCACCCCAGGGTGGAGTTCCAGAACAAGTTCTACTCAGGCACCGGCTACAAGCTGAACCCCTTCACCTTTGCCGTGGAGGACGAGTAGCGCTCGCAGGTGGCCATACCCGTGCCCCCCCAGCCTGCCTTGAAGCAGGAAAGGAATAAAGAGAAAGGTCCAGGACTGTGTCTGGGTCCTGTCTGCATTGCAGGGGCCGGGAGGCTGGTGTGGCAGAGCCTGGGCGGACACCACAGGGGCAGGGCCCTGGGCTGTGGCCATGGGCTGGTCCTGCCTGTTAGCCTCTTTTGGTTTGGTGGACCCCATGCCAGCCTCTATGCCTGTCTCTTATACCCTCCTTTACAGCTGAGGTGGTGGGAGGCACTGGTCTAGGAACTGTCTGGGGCCTCGAGAGGACCATGAGCCCATCTATAACAATCCCAGATTCTTGGGGTGAGTGACCGAGGGGTGTTCCCAGCACATTCTAGCTCGGAATGAGTTACTTCCCAGGAGAGGTGAGCTTCCCATCTTTGAGGGTGTGCAAACTGGTTGTAAGAAAACGTTCAGGATACCATGGGTGTGTATGTGTGGGGGGGTGCCTGGCAAGAATCAGCCAGTATTCCCATCCTTCATGCTGGCGCTGGCCCCAAGCACTCCACACAGGGGGAGCAGTGGTGTCATACACAGAGGCCTCATCCTGCAGAGAAGGGCAGCGGCTGGCCAGGACAGCACCAGGGGTCAGGAAGATGGCAGGTTTAGACCCCAGGCCCCGCCTCCCCATCACAGCAGGCTGTGGCCTCTTGTCTCTCTGGGCAGGCAGTCCTGTTCCCAGGCCTGTCCTTTGGCTAGAGGGGGGCAGGGGTGGCATCCTATAGGTTTCTGGCCTGGGTCCCAGCACGAGCTGGGAGGCAGTCGATGCTTCTCAGAGGCCTCAGTTTCTATAGCTGAGCCCCCAGGAACATAGGCCACTTTGAGGCTAGACGCCCTGAGCACAGTGAGCTCAGTGGCCTGGCCCCATCACTATGGCTCTCATCTGGCCAGCTGCCAGGAGGAGCCTGTCCCCCAGGGCCCCAGATGCCAGGCTGGGGTACAAGGGTTGTGTGGCAATCCCACATATCTGGCAGACGTGGCTCCCAGAAACAATGGCAGTGTCTGGTGAGGAACAGAGAAAGCTGGAGTGTGGGACTCAGGCTGTGGAAGGATCTGGACTGAGCTCAGGCCCCAGCCTTACACTTTCCTGGGGAGAACTGAGTGGAGACCTGCAGGGTGAGGGTGGTGACAGAGGGACCCTGACAGATGCTGTTTTGTGAGGAGGCAGGTATGATCCTAGGGAGACGCTGGCTGACCCATGGTTGGATGGCAGCTGAGCTGCAGGTCTGGTTGCTGAGGACCAGTATATGCAAAGGCACTGGAGTGGGCACTCCTGGGGCCTGGAGGTCGCTAGGAGTACCCGCGGGTGTGATGGACAGGTAGGCTGCCTGCACTGAGGACAGGCCTGCTGCCTGCTCAGTCTAATGCAGGAGACGCCTTGTGGGCACAGGAAGGAGCTGGAAGCTTTAAGTGAGCTCTCATGCAGCTCAGTATCATCTATTGCTTGGACATCAAAACACATTCACCTGGTTAAATTGTAAACATCTACGAGGTGAACGATGGGAAGTCTTCCCCTGCCCAGACCCCGCGCCCAGCCTCCCAGCCACTCCACTGCTGGTTGCTTCTGTGCCCTTGCAGCCTGCACCCCCGACGCAGGTGCTGGTGCACAAGCTGGGGCCCGCAGTCGGCACGACTCAGGACACAACCAAGGGTGACAGCCGAAGATGGGCTTTTATTTTTTTATTGTTTGTATAGTACAATCTCTGGTAGCAGAAATGTATGTACAGAAACAATTCAAATAAGAGTTCAGGTTAAAAAAAATTTTATCCCAAAGGATATTTTAACATATATGAATTTCACAGCTATATTCTACCCACACCCCTACATGTCACATACAGGCTGCTGGTCCCACCAGGATGACATCGGGGGCGTCAGGGAGCAGTGAGGGCGGGGAGAGCCAGCCACCGAGAGCCCTGGCCAGGGTTTTCTGTTCCTCTCAAGGGGCCCTGGGGCAGCCAGTCCTGCCATAGAACCGCCAGCTCCAGGCCGGACAGTCGAGGAGAAAAGGCTGCAGGGAGGAGACAAAGCCCTGCTGCCCCTGGGGAAGCAGGCAGGAGGCACGGGTCTGCACACCCCCATGCGGCCCTGGTCTGCCACTGGCTCTGAGCCAGGGTTAATAAAGTACATTCAGTGAGGGGAGCATGGCAGAGGTTACACCCCATTAGGGAGAGATTTGTCCAGACAACAGAACACACGGCAGGTCCCGGGAGCTACAGTCATCACACGGAGACAGCAGCTTGCACCCACTGTGCGCAGTCTGCTTTCTGGAGCATTAGCCATTTGGACAAAAGGGTGAAGGAGCAGCTTCCGGAGACTTGTGGGCAGGCCACGGGCAACATCACAGTCTGTCCTGTCTCTTGCCACTCTCAGGAATGAGCAGTGTCTACACACATTGTTACCTACAGAGAGCCAGGTACAGTGCTCACCAGCAGGGTAATTAAAGTCCTGTAAAAAAATCAACATTAACCGGAAGTGCCGTGGTGACGTGCTGGCTGTGTGCACGTCCAAGCAAGCTTCAGGCCGGCTCTGGACTACAGGAATCTGAGCTATCTCACTATTGCACTACGAAACTGTTTCTGCTGCCGGAGCTCATGTCAGAGGCCTAAGGAAATCGTAAACAAGATATGAAATAAATGTTACTCAATTTTAATAGTCTTTCATATCATACACATCTGTGTGCGGCGGTGAGCCATCCCAGCTTCTTGCCGCAGGGACAGTGGTCGGAGCAGAGGGTCCCACTGGCTCGGCTGCCCCACGCAGTCCAGGGATGGAGTGTATGAAGTCCTCCCGCAGTCACACCCCTAGCTTCCTCTTCTGGTGGAAATAGGCATCAAACCTCGCTTGGGCATAGTCCTAGGAGATACAGGAACAGCAGCCTCACCTGGGGCTCCTGCCCAGACCACCAACAGCGCAGCTCAGCTGCCCAGGAGCTCATCTGCTCTAAAGACATCTTGCGCTGTTGGCAGTGTTCACCCCACACCTTCACTTTAAAGGTGCCCAGTTTGTTCACCATGGCCAGCGTAGCCACCCCCAACCCAGAGAGGACCTTGTCTACATATTTGGCACTGCCCGGTCCCCGTCTTGTTTATCTCCAGTGTTCAACACGCTGACTGATGGATATTAACAAAGCTTCCTCTTTCAAAGCAAAAGGTCCTGGGGCACTCCCAAACATGGAACAAAGTCTACTTGGTCTCGGTGCATCGGACTGTGACTCCAATTTGCTTTAAAAATCCAAATTTCCCCAGTTCTTCTGCCTCATGGCACCTATGCATTCCTTACCCTCTGCCTAGAAGCAGAAATACAGGTCCGAGGAGGAAAAATGAACTAATGAACTAGTCAATTCCCACCTCCTGTCCCAAAGCAAGGTACTCACTCTTCCTCTGGGCCCCCTCCCCAGGACACCCTGCCCACACTCATAGAGGGTAATGAGTGTCTATGCCAAGGACGGTTCCTATGGTTGAAATAAAAAATGACAGCACAGCGTGGTGCAAACTTCCTACAAGCAGGATGTCTAACTCAGCACAGCTCCCACCTCTAAGTTGGGGCTGGAGGCCAGAGAATGGAGTGGTAATGGATGCACCCCACACTACTACCCTCAGTGTCCCTATGTCAGGGGAGACTGAGGTTGGGGCTATACCTCTCAAGTCTGTATCTCTACAGCCCATCAGAACCACAGGCCCACACAGCACTTTCGGATGCAGGGAAGGAGGGCCTGCAGGCCCTGAGAGCAACGGCAGCCTCCACAGGTGGGCGCCCTCAGTCAGAGGGGCATAAATGAGGTGGCCTTTCTCCTGCAGCTTCCCGGCTGTGCCTGCTGTCTCAGTGCCACGTGCCTGGTTCAGGAACTTGCAGGGAGGGACCAGGTAACCCGCTGTACGGGGGACCATCACCTCCACCAGCATTCGAAACACTGTAACCTTTCCTCCGGGGAGTAGAAGAGAAAAACCACCCTCTAAACTTACCATGTAGCCAAACTCGATCGATGAAATCTTGGCCTGTATGATGGACCAAAGTGCCCAGAAGAAGTGAGAGGCCAGGGCAAATCTGTAATTACAAAAGCAGGAAACACACGTGAATAGATGTGTGGGACCCATCAGAGGGCTGGTGAGGTCACTTCTACTGGACGGACATCCTAACTCATGTCCACTCATCTGGACGCAAACCATCTGTCTGGGCAAACTCCATGGGGTTATGTCCCACGGCCACAGTGGGAGCACCACAGCCGCCCTCTCCCCACCTCTGGCAGGTGTGACCATGCCCAACTTCCTGTTCCCCACACGTGACTACATTCACAGGGCTCACCAGGAGGCCTTGGTGGCCATGCTGGTGAAGCCTGGGCCACCCAGAGACCCCGTGCTGCCCGTGTGTGAGGAACAGCACCCGCACCCCCACCCCATCACCATCAAGAGGAAACACAGGCCTCTGATAGCTCACAGCCTGTTCTAGAAGGCGAGATGATGCCCTCACCACTTCCTCCCACAAGGAAGTGAAATCAAACACAGGACAGTGAGCCAGTGACCCCTCCAAGCTGCGCGATACCCATCACTAGAATCCAAATTCTCCTCACATTCATACCTTTGGGCCTCGTACAAATGACAAAAAGCTCTCATCTGAGGATGAGTGCTCTGGCTCCCTCACTAAACCCAGCCCTGTCTTCCTGGCAGTTCCCGACCCACCGCTGTCCCCTGGTACTACCCCTTCTGTGTGGGCCTCTCTACCTCCCTTCGATTTCCATCCAGTCAAGAACCAGAAAAGGGCAGTGCTCGGTGAGGGGTGTGGACACACGTGAACCAGGAAGAGGTGATCAGTGAAGTGGGGCACACTGCGCAAGGTGGGCCAAGGTTACTTCAACAGTCATTTTACCAAAGAATCTTCTAGGAGACCCCAAAGATTCAGACTAATTCAGGCCTCTTGTCTAAAGAGTCAAGTGAGTGAAACAACAGAAGTCTGGACCTTTGTAGAATTTAAACTTTCCAAGCCCTGCTTTGAGAGCTAACGAAAAAGTTAAAAGCAAGACTCAGAATCACCCGGCTGGGCGTGGCTCAGCAGCTGAGCATCGACCTAGGATCGAGGAGATCGCTCTTTGATTCCTGGTCAGGGCACATGCCTGGGTTGCGGGCTCAATCTCCAGTAGGGGGTGTGCAGGAGGCAGCTAATCAATGACTCACTCTCATCACTGATGTTTCTCTCACTCTCTCCCTTCCTGTCTCTGAAATCAATAAAGACATATTTAAAAAAAAAAAAAAAGACTCAGAACCAATACACACAATTTTTAATTATTTTCTAAAGACGTATCATTAGATGGCACCCCCAGTCCATGAACCCCAGAGACAAGAGTGCACAGGCCTGGGTGGCCACAGCCTCGCCCAGCTGAGTCTCACACACGGTTAGTCTGGAACTCCATCAGTCCATGTGTAGGCCCTGTTCTCAACTGCTGACACCTGCACACACTCAGCCAAGAGAAGTACCAATGCTCTGTTTTTAACGGAGTACAAATCCTCGAGAGGTACGGTTATTAAGAGCTCCTAAAATACTCCATAGCCAGGAGGCACCCAACAAATTCTACATAGAGGAAAGCACTCTTTACAAATCAGCAAAGGAAAAAAATTACCTGTTGATTTCAATCAGCATTTCTTCTTCTATAATGAACTTTTCTTCATTACTGAGGTTTTCAAATTCATTTGGGAATGCAGCCAAGTAACTGGAAATAAAATGGAGCTAAAAAAAAAAAAAAAAAAAAAAAAAAAAAAAAAGGC